GTTTCTCAGTAAACATCATGGAAAAATTCGATAGTTTTTTCGAAAGCCTTGACATTTCGGAATCATCTTTGCAGAATAAAAAATTACATTCGTAATACTATACCTGTTCTATATACGTATACATTTATATCATTACGCCCGGCTTGCATTAAAACACACAAGTTTAAAACACACATTAAAACACACATATTCCTCACTGAAGCATCGCCAATAGCCGACCGTAGAAAATAGTAGAAAATTACCTTATGTGCATGTACTATAAGGTAAGGTATTTTGTGTGGGCTGCCATACGCATTTCTCCCTACAAGTTTGTATGTCTCTGTCGATGTCAAACCCATCGTCTAAATAAATATATCCCATTATTTATCTCCTGAGTCTACTGAGAGCGCTAATGTGTAACTATAGGCCGTAACAGTTTTTTGAATATATAGGGAGCTGTTGTCAGCCAAAATGGCAGGACAGGGAACATAAAATAACTTGGCGTCGCGTCATCCCTCTTCCAAATAAAGCCCAAATAGGGCTGATGTTCAGAAAATATCCAAGTAATGATACCCGATTTCAAGTCAATTTTTGTGAAAAACGACCCACTGTCGAAACACTGCAAAGCTGCACGCCAATCGTCAAATTTTTTGGTTTGTTTGTAGACATGATTGCTCAAATCTCAAATCTTAGAAATAGAGATATTATCTATTATTTATTAAATATTATTGTCTTAAAAATATTTTTATAAATAATGTATATATGTAAAATAAATCGTTCTTTCTGTTTGTTCACTCAACAAGATATTTTTAGATATATTATGGCTATGCAAGACAAGACAATGATGAACTTAGTTGCCAAATACTGTTATGACATTTTAGCAGTTTTTGAAAGTTTAAATTAGGTTATTAGTAAATTTGTTATATTTTTGTATGTAATATAGTGGTAGATTTTTTATGTATGTATCTTAATATACCAAACTGGTATGCTGTTGTTGATTAAATACATAAAATGTCAAATCGAAGATCAGCGCCGTTTGCCACCGGGCTGAGTAGCTACGGAAAGTGGGCTACAGCCTACAAGGTATTTAGTCATGTTCTTCCACCTGAACAATTTTTTCAGTGATTAGTAATTGAGTGATACAATCAAACACAAACTGGCAATTAGCAAAAGCAGACGAGTTATTTGAAAAATAGCTGGATTGGGAGATTCGCAGAAAGGTATCTTGTATTCTTCCTGGATAGTGTCAAAAATGAAATCTGATGCTTCTATATACTTCCAAAATTGGATATGAGCTCTAAGCCTCCATTTTACTTTTAGAAACGAAACCGGGTATTGCTATAGATAGCTGCTTATATTCACAGGTATTAGAGGAAAGTTGTACCTGAGTTATGTCTTCATAAACATCTTGCAATGGATTATCGGCTAACGTTTACTCTCTCAACTGAGCTGCTCGGGGCTGTGGATCTTGGAAAATATCCTGGTTGAAACTGACCGGGTCGTGGCGAGGCAAATTTTTTGGGAGCTTGAGCTCCTGTGGCTTCTTTTACCACACCGAAAGCACATGTCTGTTAGACTAGGGATTCGACGGCCTATTAAAGGAAAACAAAGTGGCACGAAACAAAAAACGAAAACTACAATTTATAATAGACTTGAAAATATATATTGATAGATGTAAAACCAACGTGTTTTGCCAGTGTCCGACAGCACATGTCGGTTGGACTAGGGATTCGACGGTCTAGTAAATAAAAACAATTTAAAGTGGAACGAAACAAGAAACGAAAACTGCAATTTATAATAATAGACTTGATAATATATATTTCTAAATGTAAAACCAACGCGGTGTTTTGCCAGTGTAGTGCTTCACGTGATGTCCTACTGAGCAGACTGCTCATATTTATAGTCCCATGGCCATGCAATTAGTAACAATAAGTAACAACTTTACATACAGTAAATGCTAGCTTCAATTACGATATATTTCTACAATGGATTGACATATAAAGACACAATACAGCGCACCGTTATACACGTGCACCTCTTATACGAGGTTACACGGCATGGTCTGCTTTCAAGACCCCGTTGAAAATATAATTATCATTTATAGACCTGGAGCGAGGGGGATTCGGCAAAATATTACCCGAAGTGATGATATTTCCTGAGGGGCTTTGCCCCGAGGGAAATATCGTCACTGAGGGTAATATTTCGCCGAATCCCCCGAGCGGAAGGTCTATAAATGATATATTATACCGAAAATTAAAAGCCTCCAAGTTGAGAATTAAAAACTTAACACATTACACATACCTTCGGCTTCGTGAATACGATGTTTATTTTCGGATTAACGCCGTCAATGCCGTTTTAGTACTTTTGGTCGTGTTTTTAGAATGTCTTTCGTCTAAAATTCTGGCAATTTCTAGATCTTCTTCCGATGCAGAATCATGGTTGGCCATTTTGAATTAAATAAATAACAATTTCTCGCTTTTTTCTCCACACGTCAGTCTCGTGAGTTGCGTGGCTTCCACGATTTTAAATATCCACCGCTGTACCGGTGAATACGAGGTGGGCGCTGGTCAAAAGGACTGCAGAAATTAATATCCACCGCTCTACCGGTGAATACGATGTGGGCGCTGGTCAAAAGGACGGCAGAAACTAATATCTACGAGTAGATGTTGGAATACGACGATATATTTCATCCTCACGTGGGCAAAATGGAGCATTTTAATTGGACGTTTTGAATTTGAGGTATAATATTGAATATAAGTAAACCACAGGTCCAAGACGCATGTAGAGGTCCTACTACCATCACAAAATTAACATATTGATCGTTTATTGTCGCTGGATATGCAAAACAACATACATATGGTTACACATTGAAAAGGCGGAAGTTTGAAGTGTGATTGGCCTGCGTAGTAGCGCAAGTCCGTGGATCATTAAACGAGTTCTTGGCATGGTACCGATCCAAAAGAAGGGCAGATCCAAAAGAGGGCATAAAGACAAAGTGTTGGACATGGCATTAGGAAGTGCTCCAAAGAGCGCGGGAAAGAAGCCAAGCAATCGAAAGAAAAGCAACTCGCAGAAACCCCCTGTTACCGAGACTAGAAGGTAACCGATCTGTCTTCGTCAATCCACAAGCACCGGTATTTCCACTAAACGTAGCTCCGGTTTCAATCTTGCCTGCCATACAGCAACAAACAGGGAACAGCAGGCTTAATAGTCTTTTCCCCGAAGCAGCTCCACACCAACCTGTTATTCGGCAGAATGTCTTCTCCAACCCTAATCTGATTCAATCAAGTTCGTCGTTCAAACTAAAATGTGTAGCAGGGACACGGGTATCTCGATGTTACGGATGCAGCGGAGAAATAAAGAATCCTCCTGAAGCTTTACCTGATGATTTAATTGTCGAATACCACGACATACGACAGTTCCGAGACCGAAATACAGGACAAATCCAGTTTTCAAGTGAGCCTCAGAACGTGCATTTTCATCTCCGATCAGCCTGCATCAGAGCAAAGTATCCAAGCTTTCTTGGCGACGTTCTCGTCGTTCCTCCAGACTTTCCTCCCCTTTTCAAGGTGGAGCACGTCCAAAGGCTTGTAGGAGAGTTCGGCTGGGTCCTTTTTTGGCAACAACTTAATTAAATTGCTAACTTAAAATCTGCGTACTTTTTGAAGTATTTTGTGTTTTGTTAGTTTTGCTTTGTAAGATATTTAAAATAGGATAATCACTTTAAGATATCATATGGAGCATAAGGACTGCCTTGGGCTTGCATCTAGTCCTTAAGTTTGTTTTATTATATAGCAAGTATATTAGTAATGACATAAGCAATGTTATTATTATTAGTGAATATTACTTAATGATCTGACATAAGCAATGTGGATTGACTTTTTTATGATACGCTCTACTAATAAAGGAAAACTTCGCTAAATTTCTTTACTTTTTAATTCATTGAGCGGTTTTCTAATTCCCAATACACCAGAATCCGTCTTATAGTTTCGTAATTCCCCGATTCCTGTTTATCCTGTCGAATTTCTGTTTCCTTTTTCTGTTCTTTTTCCCCCCGTACATATCATTAATATTCCGTATTAATAATAATTCATAATTCCCCCATTCCCCTGTCACGCCCCGTTCCTCGTGCTCCCATTCCCCGTTTCCCCATTTCCCCGTTCTCCCATTCCTCGTCGGCCCCATTCCCCGTTTTAAAGATAGCCGGTTTCAGTCTATTTCACGTTTTTCGACAGAGAAGACGATCTTTTTGCCTGTATTCAATCTACAAACACTAAAAACAAGTTTACTACTCGTATTTTACTCGTATTCTACTCGTATGTACTCGTGTGTACTTGTGTTTTACTCGTATGTACTCGTATGTTACTCGTATGTACTCGTATGTACTTGTGTGTTACTCGTATGTACTCGTGCGGTGTTTTAGTCACGATCTTTTATAATCGGTGAAGGCTATTTCAGATACGGTAGAGCACCTAGTCCCCAGGCCTTTACCAGCGCGACCGCGAAATTCAAGATGGCGCCAAGCTAAGGAGTGGAGTTTAAATGGAGGTTTACCCTGTTTCCCCAACCCAAATGAATAACACAACAATTTAAACGTTTCTAATAAGGTTGCTGGCTGCTGCACCCGACTAGAAGAATGCTCGCCGCCCACCTTAACTTTATTTCCTTTTTCTCCTATTTAATACAACACATCCCTGTGTAATGTTCTCGGCTATCTAATCGCCAAACGTTACGAATGCTACTAAGTAAGCCTGCTGCCCGCCAGAAAAAACCCCTGTGGGGAAACCTGGACCCTCCCGAATGCAGATTCAGGCTCTAAATAACAATCTTGAGGGTGTAAGATTGACCGACGTACAAGCATTAGCTAACAACATTAAACTCTAAATAATCTGTTTACGACCTATGTAAACATTCCCAAGAACCTAAACCTTTGGTAAATTTTGCTGGTGAAATGCTGCTAGTAAAACATTTTGTGTGTGTTGATGCAGTGCCAGACTAGAATGAGCTTCCCAAATCATGTGACCACTTTGGCGCCCTGCCAATGAACATGGCAGTCACGTGTTTGATGAACCGTGGAAACATCAATTTTCTGCTAATCTGCGAACCGCAGAAAATAACATTTTATATTCTATAATTTCTATTGTTGTTTTTTGATCTTTTTATTCTTTTTGGTTGGTAGAACTTATATTCTGATATGCCAGGTATCTTACTCTTTACCTGATTAATCTGAAAAAAGATTTTATAACAGAATTTTTCTCAAACATAGGTTAAATTAATATCTATATGTTTCAGTGAATTATGCTTTAAAAGTAAAAAATAGATTGGCCAAGATAAGAAATTTTTGACACTTTCAACTTCAATTTTGAAAATTGTAATACCAGCCTAGTTTATATTCCATAATCCACAGAGCTTGAAAATCCATGCGGAATGTACAAATTATTGACTTTTCGAGTGAAGTTCTGTTTGAATTTTTCAGGTACTAAGTTATCTAGTTATTTTGTTATCGTCTCTATCTAGCCTGGCACAGACTATTCAAGATTGCACTGTTTAATTAGCACCAACACTAACAGTCATGGTGGCAGGGATGGATCCAGCATGATCTGGTAGGAGGGGAGGGGGGGTTGATCTGCCAGCAATAATGCCGAGTTATGTTGGTCATGCATGCCACCCGCCCATCAACTTACAGGTCAAGTCTTGCTTGACTACTGTATTTGAATTGTAATTGTTGTTCACAGTTCGCTTCTTATCATGTTATCGATATCACTCAAATTACTGTATCTCATTTTGTCTCTAAA